TATTATAAATGCGAAAATTTGTGAGGATGTTTTTTACTCTTTCTTTCACGCAAAAACTATTAAATTGATTTTAATGAAACTTCACAATAATATAGCTGATATATCAGAATAACACGTAAGCTATTTTATATCCCGGAAAATGTACGGTTCCCGTGGGATAGACTTATTTTTGATTTATATGTTTTAAAATTGTATAAAAATAATGAATTGCAACCTGTGTAATAATAAATACAAATTAATATTAATAAATGTTAATAGTAGGTAATATTAATGAATAAAAATATAAAAAAAAATAACTTAATTAAAGAAAACTAGTTCTTAATCCTGCCTCTCTCTGTCTCTCTGTCTGCCTGTATTATGCATACTCGTATTACCGTTACGTAACTAAATATGACCAATGCACTGACAATAAGTATTTTTTACCAACAAAATGGCTGTTGGGAATTAACATTCATTATAACTCCTTAACGGTTTAGAAGTCTCACTTTCAATATTTCATGCTAAGAAAAACTTTAATAATAACTTAAATAAATCTATTTGTAGATACTAAAAAATTAAAAATAACTGAACAGGATGTTATATATAGACCTAATCAGATGATGCAAAGCAAAGCAAATCTATTTTGATATGTATAAATAAGTACGTCATAAAAGTGTGTATAATATTTATACCATGATTAGAGTTTTTTTTTTATTTGAGTAAGTCTAACACCCACAGACATACGTCCGTGCCCTTTTTGAGGATTTTCTTTTTTTGTTGTTATTTTTATTTTATTTTATTTGAGATAACATCGTGCGTGTACAATTTTAGAATAGAAAGATTTTGCGAACAAAAAAGAAAAGCTGAACAAAGTTATGGAGTCGGGTGGACTTTAAGAGTCCACCCAAATGAGGTTAGTGTATTATATTTATATAAGTAGAGTTATATAATTAGAGTTCATACCTTGTCATATGTATCTATTAGATATTCATATCTTAAAGCATTATCGGCTGGCACCGATTAAGGTTTAAGGTAGCAAAATCGATCAAGCCGTCTCCGATAAATCGGTGAACACATATTAAAAACGTACAGACGAACATAGAATCTCTTCTTTTTTGGAAGTCGGTTAAAATTTATCTTAAAAAATAAAAACAATTATATAGTTCTGCGGGAGAACTTCTGTCTTAAGGACAAGGTCAAGGTTAAGGTTTGTTTGTTTGCGTTGGCTGATATTATACATTATATATACATTATATATATATATATATATATATATATATATATATATATATATATATGTGTGTGTGTGTGTGTGTGTAGTTATATGTATAAAAAAACTAAAAATACAATATGCTAAAACTTTAAATATATTCTACTTAAATTCTACCAATATTTCCGACTACCTTACAAACAATACCTACACGTGCCATTAAAAATTAAGGCCACATACACACGGAGCGACAATCCGTACTATTTCCGTGAATAGATGAGTTTGTGATGAGCTGGCGGGCAATCTCCGTCGTAATAACATACGCAGTGCGACACACTGAGATCCGCTTTACTTAGGCCCTTATTAGTATATTTAATATTCTAAACGAGTAAAACGTATGTGGATAAACTATTCAAGCAGTAGGTCGCCACTTCTATTCCTGCTTAAAGCATTTAATCCATATAAATAAAAATTAAATGCTGTTCATTGGTTATCTGGTACATCATTTGAGAACAGTGAGGTTAGGTTAAGGTTAAGGCTGAATAAGGTTTTTCTTTTTACGGAGAAGCAAAAAGTTAGGAAATGCGGGTACTAAAAGTGAAAGAATTTTTTATAAGCACAAACATTACAAATAATAAATTATAATACAAATATAATACTCAATAACAAATTATGGTGTAATTTATATCGCCTATATGTGGGTCATAGAGTAAGTAAGAAGCACAAACCTAAGTCAAACATGTTTCGTTTGTTTCATTTTAATCAAAATTTAAATCTCATAAAATCATCCTATTAGAAATTGTTAAATCTGTCAACATACTTCACAATCCGTGGTTTTTCTTGATTTTCTCGAAAACGGAAAACTCTACGCCAAAGAAAATTTTATGGGACCACCTTGGGACTTAATTTAATACAATATAGTTTAAAGTCTCCGAGAAATTAGTATAAATATATAAAAAAATATATAAAGACAAACATAGAACCTCATTTTTGGAAGTCAGTTAAAATAGATTTAATACCATTAATTGTTCTTCAAATTAATTTTGAAGTATACTCCAGATCATCTTCTACTCTCACCTCTATCTTTTTATGTTTTATATTTAATTGTTTTGTATTTATTTATTACTTTATATAATATTATTGCTTTATATATATTTATATATAAAGTTTTGTAAATATCATTATTATTAAAATGCACGTGCATTTTGAAGTCACTTATTTTATTAGTTTTTTCAGGACACTACCTACTCGTATTTATTTTACACAGAAGGTAATTATTAATACATATATGTAATTTTTACATATTTTATAGAAAAACAATTTAAATTTAATAAATTTTCCTTATAGTAAAATAAAATAAGGTAACATTCCACATTTAAGCATGTTTTTCATGCAAACATACATACATATACCCCAAGGAGGAATCGAACTCTGATCACTTCAGATCGATATCGTTATATAACAAAGTTTATAATAATATTTCATTCGCACATAAACATGTCGAACTTTAACAGTTACATTTTATTTACTGAAAACCGAAATCCCATGGCGATTGTAAAACTGCAACTGAATAGTTCCCCAACTTCGGACATTGGATATTGCCGTGTACGTCGGATATGTTTTGATACTTGCTGGGCAATTTCAATGTATTTTAAATAAATATTTTCAATATTTTGCCAAAAATATACATACAGAGGCATGTATGGGATATTTTTCTATGAGTAGTTTAGGTATCGTCGTATGTAATCAAAAACATAAAAAATGTTATATTTATAAATATATCTCATAAATCGACTCGAATCGATTGCCTAAAAAATATTAATATTTAACTAATTGTCGCTTTGTCTCTTAAAAGAACTTGATATGTTTTATATAGTTAACTAGGGACTCACTCTCGCTCCGTTCGGGTTCGTCCCTAAGTAAAAAGTATCCTATATGTTGACCCGGATAACCAACTATCATCATACCAAATTTCATCAAATTCTATTCAGTGCTTTTCTCGTGAAGCGTTCCCAGACATACAGACAGACAAAAACTCTAAAAACTATGTAATGCGGCCTCTGAATCTATAATAATGTCTATGTCAAAAAGATTTTCCAGAAAAATATTTTATATACAGATCCGACTCAGAATTTTATTATATGTAGGACCGTAGGTATAGATACCTTACATGAAAATTTAAAACCTATCAACTTATAAATTGACGCATATAAAGCAAGGTATATATTTCTGTCACACAAACTTATAAAATATTCAATTAAAAGTACCAGCACGTAAAACTCGTTCTACAAAATTAATAACTACAAAAAGTACTTTTACTAAAAACACACACGCAAACTAAACTACGCTGCGAGGGCAACATCGATTAGTTCGCTAACTTATAATTGAGATATCGACATGCTTCATGTACATACCGGCTGTATATTTTGATACTCACGTTAGGCGTTGAAGTAAACTTCTAAAAAACTATTAAATGCTTTATTAAAAGGTTAAAAAATATTTTAAATTAAATTGAATAAACATTAAATATTTGATAGCGCGAAAATCATTTATTTATATTACCTACTAAATATTTATGTCAAACTAAAAAATCAATACAAATAATGCTAGCGAAATCGTTCAAATAAAATATAAGTTACTCAGTATTTAACACTACAAAAAATTTGAAAGATTTGGTTCAGAAAATTAGGATTAGAAGAATAAGAATAAAATCTTTCCTCTCCTCTTGAATAGGAAAAATCTAGATTCTAATTAGACTTCTAAACCATCACCAAACCAATACGATTATCATAAAACAAAACTCAAAACGATTCACACAAGTTATACCAGCTGGCACTTAAAAATTAAAAAAATAGATGTACAATATATTAAAATTCAGTATGCAATTTGTAACGAAGACATCGATCTTAAAAGCCAGCAAATGTCGAAGGAAGATTCCTTTTATTTTGTTTAGTTCTGAACAGTATGTCCCCGTAGACTAAACTATGCAGAGATCAGGCAGCCGACACGAGATAGAGTCAATCGACATACCGTTGTCGCAAACTTTGCGTCCCCGGACGGTAGCGCAAGTTCGAGATGCACAACAATTCTTCAACAATAAATAATCTCTAAGTCTATATATTTATATACAGGATGATAGGAACGTTGACGTCCAAAAATAAAATTTAGGTCCCTCGTATCGTATGATGTCCGAATCACCCCCATGTATGTTACGCGACTTTTCATAGTTTATGAGTTATGATTTTTTTTAGATTTTTTAAGAATTTTCGACCTGACCAACTTAAAAAAATCTAAAAAAAAATATAGAAGAGTTCGTCGAGATTTATTTTTTCCAATTGAATCTCCATAAGTAGTACTTTTATGAATAAAATAATTAGCTTCGTAACTGTGATGAAAGTTATTAAATTGAATGAAAATTTAAGTCATAATTGACCGAATGAAAAATTTTCATTCGGTCAATTATGACTTAAATTTTTAACTTTAAATAAAAAAAATCTAAACAGGTGACTTCATGGTAGAAACCATTGCTGCGAGTGTGGCGCATTTTTAAGTCTACTTAGAAAAGTAGACTTAAAAATGCGCCACACTCGCAGCTTTTACAATCATTAAAAAAAGAGGTGGAACATTGTTAAAATTAGCCACCTGATTAAAAATAATTTTTTTTTGGTCATTTTATCGTTATATCGGCAAAGCCGTTTCAATAAGTATAAGGAAGTAACATATATATGTTTAATATACACGCATTCAAACTTTGGCTTTATAATACTATTATTTTTTGCAGTGTGTACGTCACCAGATAAACACCTTTGAAATGGAGCGATGCGAAGAGCTTGAGAAGAAAAAGGATGACCACGATGATGATGCCATGATGAAGGCACGACCACCAGTGGTCATTACTTATAATTATATCGACGGTGTATTATCATGTCCACAATGCGCACGTACCTATACGAATAAAATCGGATATGCAAGTCATTCGAGGGCGCATCAAAGGGTAGAGCAACGAAACCCTAACTCACAATATTAGAGCAAAACCTATGCAGTCTCAACAGTCGCTGTGGTCGAAATCGGCCAGGAAAGATACATACATTTGTATGTTAAACCGTTGGTCTTAAAACAACTCTTATCAAATTAGTTACCACAAAACTCCTACGATATCTTTATCATTTCAAGCGGGCCAATTCTTTATACGTTTTTATGTATATATATGAATTTCTACACGAGTTTTACTTTCTGATAAAATCATGTCAAAACCTGTCACAACCGAACATGTCGGGACTCGGGACAAGAGATTCGTCGAACAAGTGCCATAAATACGGCGAACAAAAGACGTGAATGTATTGGAATGCTGATATATTATTTAGATGACATAATACATGTACATATAAACATGGATTTTTAAAATAAGATTATTTAGCATTTCTTCTCTTCTTTTGCTTATTATTAATATATTTTTAAAATACAATTGAAAAAAAAACACATTATAATTTCCAAATACTACACTCGTGAAAATAACAAAATCGTAAAATAATAAAACATATTATATAAAACTATTATTTTAGGCAAAATCATGTCGAGACTTGTCGAATTTGTCGGCTTCAATGACAAAAACTAGCAAAGAATAGGCGACATAAAAGTATTAATATAGAGCTGTGCCTTATTTACTAGATATAAATATCGATACATTGGAACTTTACAATTGACAACTTTATTTTTAAACATAAAAGTGAGCATAGGTGTACGTCGAAGTTTATGTGATATGTATGTAAAAAGAAATTATAAACATAAAGAAATTTATGTTTATGGACATGCGCTATATAACTTTTCATAGTAGGTACTTATTACCAGATGTGTCGATAAAATGTTAAAAAAATCCTAAAAAAAATTGAAAATTCAGACGTACGTTTAGGTACGTTTTAATTTTTTTAAGCGGAACCCTAATTCTTTTTATAAAATAAAAGTAGCCTATGTTACTCCCTATAATAACAGCTATCTTTCAGTGGAAGTTCCGTCAAAATCAGTCCAACCGTTTCAGAGATTATCCGTAAGAAACAGACAGACATACAAAAATTTTAAAAATGTGTTTTTCTTATAAGTTCCGAATATAATTTCATATGCATTTAGTAAAACGCTGTTATTTTGACATTACAAACAGATACTTCAATTTTATTTATCTGTAAAGATGTGAAAGTTTAGATGTTTGGATGTTTGTTAGTCAATCACGCCAGAACGGCTGAACGGATCTAGATAAAATTTAGTACAGAGCTAGATTATAGTCTGGTATAGCACATAGGCTACTTTTTATTCCGGAAAAATGTGCGGTTCCCGTAGAATAGATTGTTTATGTTTTTCTAGAGGCGAACCTGAGAGAAGCGAGGGTGAGCCGCTAGTAGTAAATAAATAAAGCTATTATTTCAAGCCTCACATTGCTTACATTACATGAATACACGTTAAAATTAACAATTTCGTGTTAGTTATATTTTCATTGAATTCATTAAAAAAAGGCTTGTGTTTATACAATACAGTTTTTAAATACACATAAAGTGCTGTAATAAACATACACACTACACATACATACAAACTGTCCCATTTATAATTGTTATGTGATAAAGATTGAAAAAATAAATAGATAAATATATTCCACAATATAAAGCTTCGGCAAAAATAAATGTAGAAGGAAAAATAACTAATTTGTAATTCAATCGAAAACCTAGAGCGATATAACACTGAGCGGTTGTCGATAACATTACCAATATCCGTAATATCTTACGGCATCCCTAAATTGTAAAATATTGTAGCGGTACAAAAGGGTCTATTGTGTGGAGTGAGAACAAAAAATAAAGGTTTTGAATGACTTCGACGGGAATTAGGCGTTTTAATCGTCGGTCTTTGTGATAGTTTAAAATTATGAGGGCACGTATTGTTCTATAGTAGTACTAGAAAAAATTTAAGTAAGTTACTGGGCAGAAGTTATTTATATTTATATAGTATACTAGTGGTTTTTCGCGGCTCCGCTCGTGTCCTTTGATTTCATAGAATTACTGCACTCTCGTAGGTCATAGTGTGATGATGTAAGATAACCGTCCTCAAAAAATAAGCTATAAAATACAAAAATACTCTTTTAAATCTGACAAGTGGATCTAAATATTAATACGTTCAAACAAACAAACCAAAAAACAATAGCTTCATTTGTATATTATTAGTATAGATTAAAAATTGCATATTTAGATCTGAATTGCATAATCAAAAGGACTGAATACATACATATTTAGCTATGTATATTATCGTGAAATATTTGAATAGGTACATACATATGTATGTATATTTTGGTACATTTTGTAGCTTGTAATATTTAATGAAGCAGAATATAATCAAAAATCACCCTTTTTAAAGATTTTATGACATATAATTATACAAAATATACTTCATAATTTTTGTAAGCACGTATTTATATAATTAAGAATGCCAAAAATAAACTAGATGACAATTTACAAATCCATATCACTTGAATAGAAATAATACAGTAAATTAAAAAATGTATGGCGATTACATATTATGAGCTATAATACTCCTGTCAAAATAGACATTTCAAGTTACAATATTTCATAAGGCAAAAATTCTTAGGTACAGGTTATCTTTTGGCTAATAAAAGCACTAGAACTTTTGAAACTAAGAAATTTTCTTTTAAATAAACTAAATCTTGCATCTATGTATTAGTTCTTATTGAAATTTTAAACATAAAACTCGGTGCAATAAAAAATTACAAGCATTATAAGTTATTTATTAAGTGGTAAGTAAATAAACCACAGTAGGATTTATGTTATAACAAAATGTCCATATAATAAGGACTAATTCCCACATAAAATGAACAAAAAATGTTTAATTATTTACCGATAGCCGAATCATATTAAGTTCATTGCCATTTAAAACTTCCTGCAACCTCAAAACCGGTACGAACGCCCCAATTTACAAAGTCCTGTATAGTACGATATTATCTTTACAGTATAATATTATCTTTACATATAATAAAAGTGTAGCTGATCGCTGTCTGTATATGGAAGATATTTGAGAGAAACGATTACTAGGGGTCTTTATTACCTTAATAGAACCCAAAAAAATGACTTTTAGAGATTTTATCTGTTTGTTTCTTTGTCTGTGCGTTTGTGCGTGTTCATCTCATAAACGGCTAAACCTATTTGAGTGCGGTTTTCACTAATATATTGTGGTAAGCTTCACTTAATATTTAATATTCGTTTTATTTCAATCGGTTTATAAATAAAAAAGTTATGTCAAATTAAAGAATCACCTAGGGACGAATCCGAGCGAAGCGAGGGTCAGTTGCTAGTATATGATATAATATTAATGATTATACGAAATTGTAACGTCTTTATGTGTGTAAGTGTTATTATTCTTACAAACATATATTTTTCTCTTCAAGTGCTTAATACACTGATAAGCAAAGTGACTTAGTATTCCACCAATTTCGACATAAAACCCGTGATTATTCTTAGATTCACGCGAACATTTAACACCCCTTGAATATGTTTGTTGAAAATTATTCCAAATATCGAAAGCAATAAAATAAAATCGAGAAAAAAAACAAAAAAATACATTTCTTTAAATTTAAAAATATCGAATCTCCGTAATCAAACTTAGATCGGGCTATAATAATTAAATATACACATATATTATAAGTGTTTGCTTCGTGGAGGAATTATACCTAAGGCTTTACTATTAGTAGATAAGAGCTAAAAGCATAGCAAAGCTTAAAAATAAAATAAAAAATTTAAAAATAACTTATAAATCAAATTCTAATTAAAAAAATTGCCATTGCTATGAAAATGCGATAAGATAGTTTTATTTCAAATAATCGATCCTGTAACTTTTTACATAATAACTACACATCAACTACTATACTACTCAAGAAAAACGGGTAAACTCAGGTAATATGATAATTCATATAACTTGTTCCACCAGCAATGGAATGCGGTTCCCGAAAAAACGTAACTAGATGCCACTTTTTGCGGTGAGAACTTTTTTGAATGTCATTGACGCCAAATTGCATCCTTCAAGCTCATTGTTTTGAATATTAGATAATAAATTAAAAAAGTTATTTTAATATTATAAATGTATATTGTCTTCGGTACATTTCGGTTCGGTACATTACACATGCAGTGGTAGCCCAGTGGTAACGCGCTCGCCTAGGAAACCGAGTGATGCGAGTTCAAATCCAGGGTCTCGCCCCTCTGATATTTTCATGTGCGAATCATTTCCAACATGATTACCACTTGTCTTAACGGTGAAGGAAAACCCGCATTTCTGAGAGTACCTAGCAAGTTTTCAAAAGACATGTGAAGTCCGCCAACCTGCACTTGGCCAGCGTGGTGGACTATAGCCTGATTCCCCTCGTACTGAAGGAAGGCCCGTGCCCAGTTCATCCCGGAAAAATGAACGGTTCCCGTGGGAACTAATAGATCTCTATTAGTGTTTTTCTAGAGGCGAACCCGAACGAAGCGAGGGCGAGCCGCTAGTTTTAAATAAAACTATCTTTTCGGATTTTTTCGCGGATTTATTTAGATTTTTGGTTTGGTAGGTGGTGGGAATCAAAAATCAAAATAAATCGGCAAAAAAAATTGAACAGATTCTTTAATTTATAACTTCAAGTAAAAGACAAAATAAATATTATAAAACATCTAAGGTCTGCCATTTGTTTTAACACCTTAGAGGTCGAATTAATAATAAGTTTATTAAAAATCTATTATTATTTATGTAAATAAATGAATAAATTGTCACAATTTAAGCCTACTACATTCAGTAATAAGGTCGATGTCCTTAAGAAGTGCGAAAATTTGCTTGTTTGATACATATCTATACTAATATAATATAATATTATAAAGAGGTAAAGTTTGTGAGATTGTGAGTTTGTGACGTTGTGGGGGGTAATCTCTGGATCTACAGAACCGATTTATATGAAATTTGATAAGAAGATAGTTTGATACCCTGGAAAGGACATAGGAAACTTTT